TGATTGTGGTTGATGGTGGATGATCGTGGTTGAAGGTGGTTGATGGTGGGTGATCGTGGTTGATGGTGGTTGATGGTGGTTGATGGTGGTTGATCGTGGTTGATGGTGGTTGATTGTGGGTGATTGTGGGTGATCGTGGTTGATCGTGATTGATAGTGGTTGATAGTGGTTGATTGTAGGTGATTTTGGTTGATCGTGGTAGATGGTGGTTGATCGTGGGTGATTGTGGGTGATTGTGGATGATTGTGGTTAATGGTGGTTGATGGTGGGTGATCGTGGTTGATTGTGGTTGATGGTGGGTGATCGTGGTTGATTTTAGTTGATGGTGGGTGATGGTGGTTGATGGTGGTAGATGGTGGGTGATCGTGGTTGATGGTGGTTCATCGTGGTTGATGGTGGGTGATCGTGGTTGATAGTGAGTGATTGTGGGTGATTGTGGTTGATTGCAGGTGATCTTAGTTGAGTGTGGGTGATCGTGGTTGATAGTGGTTGATGGTGGGTGATTGTGGGTGATTGTGGTTGATTGTGGGTGATCGTGGGTGATGGTGAGTGATGGTGGGTGATGGTGGGTGATGGTGGGTGATGGTGGGTGATAGTGGTTGATTGTGTGTGATTGTGGGTGATTGTGGTTGATTGCGGGTGATCGTGGTTGATTGTGGGTGATCGTGGTTGATAGTGGTTGATGGTGGGTGATTGTGTGTGATTGTGGGTGATTGTGGGTGATTGTGGGTGATTATCGATGATTGTGGATGATTGTGGTTGATTATGGGTGATCGTGGTTGATTGTGGGTGATCGTGGTTGATAGTGATTGATTATAGGTGGTCGTGGGTGGTCGTGGGTGATCGTGGTTAATAGTGGTTGATGGTGGGTGATTGTGGTTAATGGTGGTTGATGGTGGGTGATCGTGGTTGATTGTGGTTGATGGTGGGTGATCGTGGTTGATAGTGGTTGATGGTGGGTGATCGTGGTTGATGGTGGTTGATGGTGGGTGATCGTGGTTGATGGTGGTTGATCGTGGTTGATGGTGGGTGATCGTGGTTGATTGTGGGTGATCGTGGTTGATAGTGGGTGATCGTGGGTGATTGTGGTTGATTGCGGGTGATCGTGGTTTATTGTGGGTGATCATGGTTGATAGTGGTTGATGGTGGGTGATCGTGGGTGATCGTGGGTGATTGTGGTTGATTGTGGGTGATCGTGGGTGATCGTGGGTGATGGTGGGTGATGGTGGGTGATGGTGGGTGATGGTGGGTGATCGTGGGTGATCGTGGGTGATAGTGGTTGATTGTGTGTGATTGTGGGTGATTGTGTGTGATTGTGGGTGATCGTGGTTGATTGTGGGTGATCGTGATTGATAGTGGTTGATGGTGGATGATCGTGGGTGATTGTGGTTGATTGTGCGTGATCGTGGGTGATCGTGGTTGATGGTGGGTGATAGTGGTTGATTGTGTGTGATTGTGGGTGATTGTGGGTGATTGTGGGTGATTGTGGGTGATCGTGGGTGATTGTGGGTGATTGTGGGTGATTGTGGGTGATTGTGGGTGATCGTCGGTGATGGTGGGCGATCGTGGGTGATTGTGGTTGATTGTAGGTGATCGTGGTTCATTGTAGGTGATCGTGGTTGATAGTGGTTGATGGTAGGTGATTGTGGTTAATGGTGGTTGATGGTGTTTGATTGTGGTTGATGGTGGATGATCGTGGTTGAAGGTGGTTGATGGTGGGTGATCGTGGTTGATCGTGGTTGATGGTGGTTGATGGTGGTTGATGGTGGTTGATGGTGGGTGATCGTGGTTGATGGTGGTTGATTGTGGGTGATTGTGGGTGATTGTGGATGATTGTGGTTAATGGTGGTTGATGGTGGGTGATCGTGGTTGATTGTGGTTGATGGTGGGTGATCGTGGTTGATTGTGGTTGATGGTGGGTGATTGTGGTTGATGGTGGTTGATGGTGGGTGATCGTGGTTGATGGTGGTTCATCGTGGTTGATGGTGGGTGATTGTGGTTGATAGTGAGTGATCGTGGGTGATTGTGGTTGATTGCAGGTGATCGTGGTTGAGTGTGGGTGATCGTGGTTGATAGTGGTTGATGGTGGGTGATTGTGGGTGATTGTGGTTGATTGTGGGTGATCGTGGGTGATGGTGGGTGATGGTGGGTGATGGTGGGTGATGGTGGGTGATAGTGGTTGATTGTGTGTGATTGTGGGTGATTGTGGTTGATTGCGGGTGATCGTGGTTGATTGTGGGTGATCGTGGTTGATAGTGGTTGATGGTGGGTGATCGTGGGTGATTGTGGTTGATTGTTGGTGATCGTGGGTGATGGTGGGTGATGGTGGGTGATGGTGGGTGATCGTGGGTGATTGTGGGTGATAGTGGTTGATTGTGTGTGATTGTGGGTGATTGTGTGTAATTGTGGGTGATCGTGATTGATAGTGGTTGATGGTGGGTGATCGTGGGTGATTGTGGTTGATTGTGGGTGATCATGGGTGATCGTGGGTGATGGTGGGTGATCGTGGGTGATTGTGGTTGATTGTGGGTGATCGTGGGTGATCGTGGGTGATGGTGGGTGATAGTGGTTGATTGTGTGTGATTGTGTGTGATTGTGGGTGATTGTGGGTGATTGTGGGTGATTGTGGGTGATTGTGGGTGATCGTGGGTGATTGTGAGTGATTGTGGGTGATTGTGGGTGATGGTGGGCGATCGTGGGTGATTGTGGTTGATTGTGGGTGATTGTGGGTGATGATGAGTGATCGTGGTTGATTGTGGGTGATCGTGGTTGTTAGTGATTGATCATGGGTGGCCGTGGGTGGTCGTGGGTGTTCGTGGTTAATAGTGGTTGATGGTAGGTGATTGTGGTTAATGGTGGTTGATGGTGTTTGATTGTGGTTGATGGTGGATGATCGTGGTTGAAGCTGGTTGATGGTGGGTGATCGTGGTTGATCGTGGTTGATTGTGGTTGATGGTGGTTGATGGTGGGTGATCGTGGTTGATGGTGGTTGATAGTGGTTGATCGTAGGTGATTTTGGTTGATCGTGGTAGATGGTGGTTGATTGTGGGTGATTGTGGGTGATCGTGGTTGATAGTGGGTGATCGTGGGTGACCGTGGTTGATGGTGGGTGATCGTGGGTGATTGTGGTTGATTGTGGTTGATTGTTGGTGATGGTGGGTGATGGTGGGTGATGGTGGGTGATGGTGGGTGATCGTGGGTGATAGTGGTTGATTGTGTGTGATTGTGGGTGATTGTGTGTGATTGTGGGTGATCGTGATTGATTGTGGGTGATCGTGATTGATAGTGGTTGATGGTGGGTGATCGTGGGTGATTGTGGTTGATTGTGGGTGATCGTGGGTGATCGTGGGTGATGGTGGGTGATAGTGGTTGATTGTGGGTGATTGTGGGTGATTGTGGGTGATTGTGGGTGATTGTGGGTGATTGTGGGTGATGGTGGGCGATCGTGGGTGATTGTGGTTGATTGTGGGTGATTGTGGGTGATGATGGGTGATCGTGGTTGATTGTGGGTGATCGTGGTTGTTAGTGATTCATCATGGGTGGCCGTGGGTGGTCGTGGGTGATCGTGGTTAATAGTGGTTGATGGTAGGTGATTGTGGTTAATGGTGGTTGATGGTGTTTGATTGTGGTTGATGGTGGATGATCGTGGTTGAAGCTGGTTGATGGTGGGTGATCGTGGTTGATCGTGGTTGATTGTGGTTGATGGTGGTTGATGGTGGGTGATCGTGGTTGATGGTGGTTGATCGTGGGTGATTTTGGGTGATCGTGGTTGATCGTGATTGATAGTGGTTGATAGTGGTTGATCGTAGGTGATTTTGGTTGATCGTGGTAGATGGTGGTTGATTTTGGGTGATTGTGGGTGATCGTGGTTGATAGTGGGTGATCGTGGGTGACCGTGGTTAATAGTGGTTGATGATGGGTGATTGTGGTTAATGGTGGTTGATGGTGGGTGATCGTGGTTGATTGTGGTTGATGGTGGGTGATCGTGGTTGATGGTGGGTGATCGTGGTTGATTGTGGTTGATGGTGGGTGATCGTGGTTGATGGTGGTTGATGGTGGGTGATCGTTGTTGAACGTGGTTCATCGTGGTTGATGGTGGGTGATCGTGGTTGACGGTGGGTGATCGTGGTTGATAGTGGGTGATCGTGGGTGATTGTGGTTGATTGCAGGTGATCGTGGTTGAGTGTGGGTGATCGTGGTTGATAGTGGTTGATGGTGGGTGATTGTGGTTGATTGTGGTTGATTGTGGGTGATGGTGGGTGATGGTGGGTGATTGTGTGTGATTGTGGGTGATTGTGGGTGATTGTGGGTGATCGTGGGTGATTGTGGGTGATTGTGGGTGATCGTGGGTGATGGTGGGCGATCGTGGGTGATTGTGGTTGATTGTGGGTGATTGTGGTTGATGATGGGTGATCGTGATTGATTGTGGGTGATCGTGGTTGATAGTGATTGATCATGGGTGGTGGTGGGTGGTCGTGGGTGATCGTGGTTAATAGTGGTTGATGGTGGGTGATTGTGGTTAATGGTGGTTGATGGTGGTTGATGGGGGGTGATCGTGGTTGATGGTGGTTGATGGTGGGTGATCGTGGTTGATCGTGGTTGATCGTGGTTGATGGTGGTTGATGGTGGGTGATTGTGGTTGATGGTGGTTGATGGTGGGTGATCGTGGTTGATGGTGGTTGATCGTGGGTGATTGTGGGTGATTGTGGTTGATCGTGGTTGATCGTGATTGATCGTAGGTGATTTTGGTTGATCGTGGTAGATGGTGGTTGATCGTGGGTGATTGTGGGTGATTGTGGGTGATCGTGGTTGATAGTGGGTGATCGTGGTTGATGGTGGGTGATCGTGGTTGTTAGTGGTTGATCGTGGTTGATTGTGGGTGATTGTGGGTGATCGTGATTGATCGTGGGTGATCGTGATTGATTGTGGGTGATCGTGGTTGATTGTGGGTGATCGTGGTTGATGGTGGGTGATCGTGGTTGTCTCCATGCCGCCCCCAGCGCGCTCGGTCGGGTTGTTCGGCACCAATAACCTGGAGCCGGCGGACGAGTGGACAACGCCACAGGGCGAGCCAGCGCCCAGCCCCGATGCGCTGGCGCTCAGCTGGCAGGCACGGCCACACCAGCCTTAAGCACCGCACCCATCCACTCCACGACACCTTTCATCCTCACCACCCTGTTCAGCCGCACCACACACCCACGTGTGTGTGTCTGTATGTGTGTGTGTAAGTCCCCGTGTGTGTACGTGTGTGTGTGTAAGTCCCCGTGCGTGTGTACGTGTGTGTGTGTCCGTGCGTGTGTGTACATGTGTGTGTCTCCGCGCGTGCGCGTGCGCGTGCAGGTGGGAGGGCGGTGTGAGCCAATGGAGGAGCGGCCTCGCTGCCCGAGTCGCCTCTGCCAGGAGCTCTTCCTCGACTCCACCTCCTCCCTGGGCAGCTGCTTCCGCGTGGTGAGCGCTTCCGCGCCTCTGTGCTGCCCCCGTGCTGCCCCGGAGCATCCCGTGCTGCCCCGTGCTGCCCTGTGCTGCTCCCGTGCTCCCCTCGTGCTCCCCCGTGCTGCCCTCCGCGCTCCCCTCGTGCTCCCCCGTGCTGCCCTCCGCGCTTGTTAGGGCCGCTGGTCCCTGAAGTCCCTCCCTGCCCCGTGCCTATGGCAGGGGCTCTGCTGTTCGTCGACCCCTCGCTACTCTGCGAGCAGCTGCTGCCGTCGCTGGGCTCATCGCCCGACGGCTCCCCTCCCTTGTCCGTCCCTCCCCGAGCTCGTGTGAGGGGCATCGCTCGCCGCACGCTCTCGTTCACCTGTAAACGCTGCGTTGTCTCTCCATGAATCACGCGCTATTAAACGGGGGTCAGGGGTCGGAGGGCGAATGACGCTACCCTCACACTGCGCGAGTCCCTGCGGTGATAGACGGAGCTGGTACCTGTGGGCGCACCGAACTCTTTCACCACGCTACGAGCGCCCACACCTGCGCACACGCGATACCCACTCGTGCGCCGCTCTACGCAGCGCTCCCACGCGACGAGCCGCTGTGTACACAGCTCCACACGCGACACACTGCTCAACAATATCACGCGAGACCACGCTTCGCTATTAATGATTTATTATCTGCTACTCGCGAATTGATGCTAAGTCAGTATGAGTCGACGAGGCTGGCCTATCCTACTTCCCCTGGACCTATTCCCTATTTATCGGCTTACGATACCCTACTTCACCTCCCCACTCACTGTTTGGTGCCCACGGTGGTTCGCTGCTCCCTGTGCTAACAGCGCACCTCGATGCGTCGCACGGACGTCCGGGTCGCTGGCTGGAGCTGCGGCTGGTCCTCTGGCCTGGAGAAAAGAGAGCGATTTCTCGTTTGGGCCCCCTTTTTATCCTCCCTACATCAAAGGGATGCGGCTCCGAACAGGATGGCGTCCCTCAGCCCTTCCCTAACAATGGGCTCGCGCCAGCTTGCACGCGCACGGTGGCTCCGCGGCGCCTCCATGGCGCTTTTGTTATGCTAATCGGATGTGCTGCGGCGCCGATTCCAAACACGCTCCTTCGGAGTGAGCAGGTAGGAACTTGGTTGGACAGCGCATTTGTGCACGACAGAGAGACCAATAATTCCTGGTGGGCAGTGTGGAACATTTTTCCTACCTGTATTAATCTCCTTCTCATGCATGGCGCCGTGCTCCTGCGCACCCTAAACTATGCCGCCCCGTCCCTCCTCCGCCTGTCTCGTCGACCCGTGGGGGTGTGTGTGGGGGGATGCGCCTCAACCGTGGTGGCCGAATGCCCCACGCCGCGACCATACCATATTAAGGCTGGTCGCAGCGCCGCGGCGCAACGTAGCACGGGGGAGGTCGTCCAATTCCCTGATCGCCGGAAACCGTGAGAGTTAATCCCGATAAGGGTTTCTCGGATAAAAACCGGTCGATTAGGTGATCTCCCCTTCCAGCTCTATGGGTGGGGGAAAATGCGTGTGGGTGTGTTCATGTGAGGTGAGATGAGGGGGGCGAGGGGTTAGCTCCGTTGCTTGGTGGTGGCGAGGTCGGGGATGGGGCGCCTTCCGAACGGCTTCGTGGCGGCGGCATCGCATAGCCCCCCGAGGTGCCAGTCCCCGTCCCGGGTTGACTGGAGCACCTCGCTTGGGCCGCGCCCACGAGGAAACGTTGCGGGGTCCGGGGGATCCGTCCGGACCTGGTGGCTGGCCTCGGGGCGGGTGGTTCCGTCTTCTGTAGCTCCTGCGGCGGCCTCCTCCTCCACTCCAGCGGCTCTCCCCGTCCTCCGGCACCTGTGGGCTGGGGCACAAACTCAGCAGCGGAAGGCTTTAGGGCCCGTCGTCCGCGCTGTCTCCGGACTGGATTGGGGCATCTCGGGGGCCCGGCGGGGCCCATGTAGTGTGCGAGGCCCCCCAACACGAGGGGTGCGGGTACTCCGGGATTTTGGGGCTTTCGGGTGACGGGGTTCTCTCTCGCCGGGGCCGCTTTCCACGGTTTTAAGTGGCGGACGTTGACCACCGTCTCTCGACCCCTCTCCCCGCCATGAATTAGTACCGTCCAGGGGGAGATCTGCCGCACCACGGTCCAGGGTCCCCGCCAGTAGGTCGTCAGTTTCCCCACCTGCCCGGCCTCGACGCGAGGGGTGTGTAGCCACACCTTAGCGCCTGTCAGGAATAAGGGGGGTTCCATGCGGGGTCGGGTGCCCTGTTCCTGCCGCCGATGCGCGGCTTCCCCTTGCGGGTATGCTCGGCCTCGGGCTTCTCGCAGGGTCTCCAACAGGTGTTCCACGGGGCGGCTTCCCTCCTCCGGCTGGGGGGAAGGGACGCCGAATAGCAGATCTGCGGGTAAACGAGACTCACGGCCGAACATCATTAAAAACGGGGTTTGTCCCGTCGACGTGTGTACGGTGGTGGCGTAGGCGAAAAGGGCGTAGGGGAGGTATTCGTCCCAATCCCATTGATTTGCGGCCGCCATACGTTTGAGTTTCCCCGCTAGGGTCTGATTCATGCGTTCTACCATACCATTCGCTTGGGGGTGGTACGCTGTGGTTCGGTCCTTCTGGATTCCGAATTCTCGGCACAGTGCCTGGAACAGCTCGGCCTCGAACTCGCTACCCTGGTCGGTGAGGACTCGTTCTGGGATCCCGTGCTTAAGTACGTAATGTTCCACGAATGCCCGGGCCACCACCAAGGCCGTTTTATCAGGGATGGCCACTGCTACGGGGTAGCGGGTGAAATACTCTACTGCGACTAGGATATACCGGTTGCCTCGATGGGATCGCGGGAATGGCCCCTGTAGATCGATCCCGACCAGCTGATTCGTGCGGCTGACGCGGAACGGCCTGAGGGGTACCTGGTATCGTGCCGGTTTCGGCCCGCATTGCTGACAGGCGCGGCAGCCCTGTACCCAGGCCGCCACGTCTTGTGCCAATTTGGGCCAGAGATACTGGCGACGCAGGGTCTCTCGCGTGCGTCGTTCTCCATCGTGGCCCCCGAGTGGGTGGTCATGCACCAGCCGTAGCAGCTGGGGTCGCACCTGGGCAGGAACACAGATGCACCCCGGCTGGCCGGCCTTGGTTAACTCCCGTACCACTCCGTTCTGCACACACAACCGGGCATACAAACTGCTCCAGGGTCCTGGTAGGGCGCTCTTTTCCTCCCGCAGTGCCGCCTCCACTGCCGCCAGATCCGGATCTCGCTGCTGGGTCTGTCTCAGCTGAGCCGTGGGTCCCGCGCTTGCCGGGCGGTCGACGGGATCCTCGGTGCCACCTGTGAGGGTCTCTGTGGCGCACACTGCACTCTCTCTCGTTGGGGGGGGGGGGTCAGTGGCCACGGCCTCTCGGGGGTCCGTTGCCTGCCGGCAGTGTCCCCCCGTGAAACACGGGCAGGCCTCCTCCGCCCTTGTCTCGGCGTACACCGTGGGTCGCCTCGACAAGGCGTCCGCGTTTGCATGCGTCCGGCCAGCCCAATACTCGATTTGCAGGTTGTACTCCTGCAACTGCGCCAACCACTGGGCCATCTGCCCCCGCGGCTCCTTGAATGTAAGAAGAAACTGCAGAGCATAATGGTCAGTGCATACGCGACATCTCCTGCCATACAAATACGGCCGGAACTGTTTGCATGCGAAAATCACGGCGTACAACTCTTGGCGGGTCACGCAATAGTTCAGCTCGGCCCCACTCAAGGTCCGGCTGGCGTACGCGATGACTCGTTCCGTCCCATCCTGTACCTGTGACAACACCGCGCCCAGCCCGCTGCTGCAGTCGTCGTCCAAAATAAAATCGGTGGTAAAATCGGGGAAAGCGAGGGTGGGGGCGTGGGTGAGGTGGTCTTTGAGAGTGGTGAAGGCCGTCTGGCAGGCCCCCGTCCACTGATATGGGTGCTTAGGGGAGGTGAGTTGGGTGAGGGGGCGTGCAATCTCGCTGAATCCCTTTACAAATCGACGATAATAGGTGGCGAGCCCTAAAAATGATCGGATCTCCGTCAGATTCCTTGGCCGTGGCCACTCCACTACGGCGCGTACCTTCTCCGGATCGGTGTGCACGCCTGCCTCGCTGACGCGGTGCCCGAAGTACCCCACGTCGCGTTGTGCGATGTAACACTTACGTGGCTTGAGCTTGAGATGAGCCGCTCGCAGTCGCTGGAATACCTCCCGTAACCTGGACCAATGCTCAGACAAAGATCTACGGAACACTATCACATCGTCCAAGTAAATCAGGCACTGTTCCCATTGCAAGCCCCGCATCACCAACTCCATCAGCCGCTGAAACGTCGCGGGCGCATTGGTGAGTCCAAACGGGAGTACTCGAAACTCGAATAGCCCCATCGGGGTGGTGAATGCGGTTTTCGGCCGATCCTCCTCCGCCATCTCCACCTGCCAGTACCCGGACGCGAGATCGAGGGTGGAAAAATATCGCGCTCCGGCGAGGCTGTCAAAAGTGTCGTCGATGCGGGGTATGGGGAAGGCGTCGCCGAGCGTGACTGCGTTCAGTTTACGGTAATCGACGCAGAACCGGGTTGACCCATCCTTTTTCGTTACTAGTACCACTGGGGCTGACCAGGGGCTCGCCAAGGGCTGAATTATGTTATCGTGAAGCATGTCCTCAACCGCCTCTTTGATCTGGGCGCGTTCGGGTGCGCCCACTCGGTACGCGGGGAGTTTGATGGGTCGGGCTGCACCGGTGTCAATTTGGTGCTTAACAAGGTCGGTCCGACCCACGTCCGAGTCGTGTTCACTGAATACGTCGGCATACTCCCGCAGTAACTCGCACAGCCGATCGGCCTCTCCCTTAGGTAGATCCGCCCATGGTACATGTAACGCGTCGAGCAGGGGGACGACCTCGGCTTGGGGAGTCGGGCCGACTCGCCAGGCCAGGTCCTGGTCCCCCTCAGGACGACCGGGGTCCTCAGCCCAGAGTGCGAACACCGATTCGTCAGAGTGGCGTGCGTGCAGGGGGTGTACAGTGGCGATCGGGGTGCGCCGTCGCAGTATCGCTGGGGTATTGTGCGGGTTAAACATCCGCATAAACAATCGGTCCCCATCTGCGTTTACCAACGTGGTGGATCCCACGACCCCATACCGTTTTGCTAACTCCGGGTGAGGAGTTAGCATTACCTCCCCTGATGGTCGGAGCGCGGGGTCGGTGGGGGATGTTGTCACCGGCACCAGCATCTCGGTGAGCGGCCTGATGGTGACTGCCGTCGCCAGGATAGCGGCCACGGGTGCGAAGCGGGGGCGCGTCGGTTCTCGTCCCAGGAATGGAATCCACTCGCCGCTGCTCTCCATGGTGGCGCATCGCTGGCGGGGTTGCACATTGAGTCCCAGCTTTTCTAAGAGGTCGGTACCTGCAATACACTCGTGACACAACGCACTCGACACGTAGAACTCCTGGGTGCACACCTGGCTGCGTATGCGGACCTCTAGGGTGGCTCTCCCCAGCAGTCCCATTCCGGCTCCGCTCGCCGTGTGCAGCGCGCGGTCCGGTGCCTGCAGGTGACGCACGTCGACCCCGATCGCGCTGCAGTGCGCTGCGCTCACGAGCGAGGCCACCGCCCCCGTATCCAGCAGGATTCGGGTACGCATTCCATTTACCTCCCCTTCCACCAGCGACGTGGCCCCCGTGATTCCCGCCACCAGCTCCCGCAGCCAGTTGCCAGGAGTCGCCGCGTTCCTTGGTGTCGTGGCTGGAATCTGTGTGGAGATCGCTCGCTCGCCATTATCATTACAGCTGGTTTGGATCGGGTCTATGTCGATTTCATCCCCCGGTGGTCCCCTCTCTAGGGGGGCCTTAGTGTTTGACCTATGCATCTGCCTCGCACGGGCGAGCTGAGGGCAGCCCCTCCTGAGATGTCCTCGACGGTCGCACACATAACACGTCCGGGGAGGGGTGGCGGCTCCGTAGTGGGCCCCCTGCCCGCTCCCTCTCCCTGTACGCAGTTGTTCTAACTCGGACTCTAATTGGGATACCTTCCCGGCCAGCCCCCCTACTGTGGAGTGTAGTTCACCCATCTCAGACTGGATGGTCTTCACATTTTTATTCGCTTCCTCGCGTACTTGGGTTACCCTCTCACCTACGTGGGTTACCCTCTCACCTACTTGGGTTACCTTACCGTCCATTCGGTCTACCCGGCCAGCAATATCTCCCATGCCGGTCTGTAACCTGGCTACCCAACCCGGGGTCGTCTCGCGGGGTCTCTGGGCCTCTCTCGCCCGTCTCCCTATGGGGCTGGCGGGCTCCTCCTCATCCTCCTCCTCGTCAGGGATCAGGCTCGCCACAGTGCCCTCCTGTCCCGACCCTCGGAGCTGCGCGTGTTCGCTGGCGAGCTCCTCACACTCCAGTGCTTGCTCGACTAGGGTATCGAAAGGGAGGCCTGCGCTACCCCTTTTGGGCTGCCACCACGCGGTGCGAGCTAGGTACCTGAGTAGCTTGTCTGCCGCTAGCGCGTCAATGACCTCCTTCGCGAACTCTGGGCGGGCGATCCGGGTTAGTGATCGCACGTCCTCGGCGTAGTCTCGGAAGTCCTCGCCGGGTTGGCGTCGGCGCGCCTCTAAGGCTGTCTTTGCCTGTATCGCGTTGCGTGTACCGAAACGCCGATCTAATCTACGCATTAGTTCCTCTAGTTGGGTTTGCGCGCTTTCGGGAAGTGCCTCTACAAAGTCGGCTGCCCGCCCCTCCAGGTTCAACGTAAGATGTCGTAACGCCTGCGCGTCCGACCAGCCATTAAGCTCTTTAGCCCCTATGATATTGCGGGTAAACGCTTTCCATGTAGGGGTCCCCTGGCCGGTGAACACATGCCTTACCTTTGTGTGGAGTAACGCGCTACCTTCCCGTGAAGATGTGAGGGTTCGTACGACTTCTGACACCAATATGTTAGGGCCGCTGGTCCCCGAAGTCCCTCCCTGCTCCGTGCCTATGGCAGGGGCTCTGCTGTTCGTCGACCCCTCGCTACTCTGCGAGCAGCTGCTGCTGTCGCTGGGCTCATCGCCCGACGGCTCCCCTCCCTTGTCCGTCCCTCCCCGAGCTCGTGTGAGGGGCATCGCTCGCCGCACGCTCTCGTTCACCTGTAAACGCTGCGTTGTCTCTCCATGAATCACGCGCTATTCAACGGGGGTCAGGGGTCGGAGGGCGAATGACGCTACCCTCACACTGCGCGAGTCCCTGCGGTGATAGACGGAGCTGGTACCTGTGGGCGCACCGAACCCTTTCACCACGCTATGAGCGCCCACACCTGCGCACACGCGATACCCACTCGTGCGCCGCTCTACGCAGCGCTCCCACGTGACAAGCCGCTGTGTAGACAGCTCCACACGCGACACACTGCTCAACAATATCACGCGAGACCACGCTTCGCTATTATTGATTTATTATCTGCTACTCGCGAATTGATGCTAAGTCAGTATGAGTCGACGAGGCTGGCCTATCCTACTTCCCCTGGACCTATTCCCTATTTATCGGCTTACGATACCCTACTTCACCTCCCCACTCACTGTTTGGTGCCCACGGTGGTTCGCTGCTCCCTGTGCTAACAGCGCACCTCGATGCGTCGCACGGACGTCCGGCTAGTCCTCTGGCCTGGAGAAAAGAGAGCGATTTCTCGTTTGGGCCCCCTTTTTATCCTCCCTACATCAAAGGGATGCGGCTCCGAACGGGATGGCGTCCCTCAGCCCTTCCCTAACAATGGGCTCGCGCCAGCTTGCACGCGCACGGTGGCTCCGCGGCGCCTCCACGGCGCTTTTGTTATGCTAATCGGATGTGCTGCGGCGCCGATTCCAAACACGCTCCTTCGGAGTGAGCAGGTAGGAACTTGGTTGGACAGCGCATTTGTGCACGACAGAGAGACCAATAATTCCTGGTGGGCAGTGTGGAACATTGTTCCTACCTGTATTAATCTCCCTCTCATGCATGGCGCCGTGCTCCTGCGCACCCTAAACTATGCCGCCCCGTCCCTCCTCCGCCTGTCTCGTCGACCCGTGGGAGTGTGTGTGGGGGGATGCGCCTCAACCGCGGTGGCCGAATTCCCCACGCCGCGACAATACCATATTAAGGCTGGTCGCAGCGCCGCGGCGCAACGTAGCACGGGGGAGGTCGTCCAATTCCCTGATCGCCGGAAACCGTGAGAGTTAATCCCGATAAGGGTTTCTCGGATAAAAACCGGTCGATCAGGTGATCTCCCTTCCAGCTCTATGGGTGGGGGAAAATGCATGCGGGTGTGTTCATGTGAGGTGAGGTGAGGGGGGCGAGGGGTTGGCTCCGTTGCTTGGTGGTGGCGAGGTCGGGGATGGGGCGCCTTCCGAACGGCTTCGTGGCGGTGGCATCACACGCTCCCCCTGTGCCGCCCCTGTCTCCTTGGCACTGCCGCCCGTGACACTGGCGGGCCCTCCCCCCCTCCCCCCCTCCCCTCCCCTCCCACCTTCCCCCCCAGGTGGACCCGGCGCCGTTCCTGTCGGCCTGCGAGGAGGACGCGTGCCGCGAGCCGGGGTCCCGCGCCGCATGCAGCCTGGCGGCCGCCTACGTCACGCGGTGCAACCACCAGCACGTGCCGCTCGTCACGCCCGCCGCATGCGGTGAGGACCCCCCCCCCCCCGCCACCTGTCCTGGTTTGTCCTAGGATCTTCCTGTTGTTGTTGAGGTAGTGATCGATAGCTGTCCTGGGATATCCCTAAGTCCGGTGAGTCCTCCTGGGATATTGGGTGGGTAGGTGGTTGGGTTGGTGTTTGGGTGGGCGGGTTAGTGGGTTGGTGTTTCAGTGAGTTTGGGTGGGTGGGTTAGTGTGTGGGTGGGTGGGTTAGTGTTTGGGTGAGTGGGTGAGTGGGTGGGTAGGTGGGTGGGTTGGTGTTTGGGTGAGTGGGTAGGTGGGTCGGTTGGTGTTTGGGTGAGTGGGTAAGTGGGTCGGTTGGTGTTTGGGTGAGTGGGTAGGTGGGTGGGTTGGTGTTTGGGTGAGTGGATAGGTGGGTGGGTTGGTGTTTGGGTGGGTGGGTTAGTGGGTAAGTAGTGGGTTGGTGTTTCGGTGAGTGGGTAGGTGGGTTTGTTGGTCTTTGGGTTAGTGGGTAGGTGGGTGGGTTAGTGTTTGGGTTTGTGGGTTAGTGGGTGGGTAGGTGGTTGGGTTGGTGTTTGAGTGAGTGGGTAAGTGGGTGGGTTGGTGTTTGGGTGAGTGGGTAGGTGGGTGGGTTAGTGGGTAGGTGGGTGGGTTAGTGTTTGGGTGAGTGGGTTAGTGGGTGGGTATGTGGTTGGGTTGGTGTTTGGGTGAGTGGGTAGTTATGATAGAGTTGCCATCGAGTTTTCCTAGGATCCCAGGATTTGCCTTCCTTTCCTGGTAGCCATCCTGGGACATCTGTAAATCTTCCCAAGGCATTAAATGTCCCAGTTTTTGTCAGTCGCATTCTAATACCCCGCCTCTGTGACCCCCTTTGCCCCCGATTGTCCCTGCGTCCCCCTTTGTCCCCCGCACGCTGCTGCCAGTGACCCCGGCGAGCGATGCGAGGCTGCGGCGGGCGTTGCCGGGCCAGGAAGAGGCGGCGGCAGCGACGCCGTGCGAGGGCGACCGCGCCGCCACCGTGGTGCTCGTGCCGGACGAGTGGCCGTGCCAGCAGCTCGGCGGCTCCCCCTGCGGCGTCCGTGCCGCCTGACGGCTCTCCGCGCCACCGTTTACACGGAGCACGGGGGGCCCACCACTGCCTTGTGCCCCCCTGCCCTGGCAGCCGTGCCCTCGCTTGGCTCGAGGATTGCTGTGTTCGTGGATCATGGCCTCGCTTATCCCCTAGCGCCGAGAGCCCTGCCCCCTGGCCTCCCTGTCCCCGATTTTCCTCCCTCTTGATCCCTGCCCCTAATTGTTATGCCCTAGAATTCTATGCGTCTGGGTTTCTTGCCCCTGATTTTTAGGGGATGCCGCTGTGGCGAGATGTTAACTACTTCGCCTGGTATGCACGAGGGGCGTGGGTTCGATCTCGACCCTGACGCCTGCAGTATATTTTGGAGTCTGCGTGTCTCTCTCTCTCTCTCCCCGTGGTCGCTTGGATTTTTCTCCGGGTCCTCCGGGTTTTCCCTCGCATTTAGAAACAACATCACGCGTTTTGAGTGTTTGGCTGCTATACATTACCACGTGATACGCCACTTCATTGAGCTATTCATTGTGGCCAGGTCGTCTGAAAAATAGCTACATAGCTCAGTGGGCCTTACCTGGTAAAATAAAAAAATAGATCATAGTTTAGTTTTATGTCCTAGAATTCCCTGCCGCTTAGTTTCCTGCCCGAGAGTTCCCTGCACCTGATTTTCACGCCCCAGAATTCCCTGCCCTGAAGCTCCCGTCCCTTTATTTTCCCTGTGTGTCTATGTGTGCCGTCGGGAAGATTTTGGCGATAGTGCGCGGCTTGGCCGTGACTTTGCGTTAATTTAAACGTTGCGTTTTCCGCATCCGCTCGGTTGTTTACGTCGAGTGTGGTTTTTGGTTAAAGTGGCATTTTGTGAACACGGTCGACACGGGCGGCGCGTGGGTGGGGGGGGGGAGGGTACGGTGGTGGGCGGTGGGGGGGCGGTATATATCGTTCCAGAACCGGTGGCGCTCCTCGGCTTGTAGTCTCGAGCGCACGAGTTCGGCACCCGGCTGGGGACCTCTTCGGCCAATCATTCATTCCTCCAGAGACCGCAGAATGTATCGCTGCTTCAGTGAGAAGTCGATCGCCGTTGTCGTTTAAAGAGAGCCTCTCGCGCGAACGGGAGACATTTATTTTTCTTTACACGTTTTTTGTGGTGCATGGCACGGGGCGGGGGGGGTGCCGGTGGGGGCTGTGGGTGTGGATTGTTGTTGTGGATTTATCTCGGATTAAACTCGGATCCATCTCCTCCCCCCGCTCGCCGTCCATAGCTCGCGCACGCACACGCACGCAGTACGCACACAGTACGCACACACACAGTACGCACACACACCGTACACGCGTGCACAGTACGCACGCACGCAGAGTTGTGCGCACGCAGTACGCACATTAAGCACACACGGTACGCACCGCGTGCAAGTGGCGTGCGAGTGGGGTGGGTGCGAGGTGCGATTTGTTGTTACCAGCGGCACAGCAAACTTGGTATTCCACCTGTTCCATGCGTATGGCATGGAAGCGTTGCTCCCGCGGAATCGCGGCTTTTCCCTCGCTGCACCGCTGTCTTCGCACTCGTCAACAGCAACTCATGAGTCGACCAACAGGCACCTCCGCGCGTTAAGAACCCGCAGGGCTCGGATGGTGGGATTGGCGCCGGCTTCACGCCTTTCCCGCCTGTCTGTGGTTCCTTCCTCGCGCCTCTTCGCTCCTCCAGAGTGAACACTCGCGCCTCCGATTAGCACGGCTGGCTACGTACGGCGCGAAAGAAGTTCAGCATATGCGTACGCACGCACACTGTGCAGCACGTTACAAGTTCGTGCATTGGGCTATGACCCCCCCCCCCTCCCCCACCGGCAACTCGACTTGGCAGTGATATCAGAGCTTCTAGGTCGACTCGGCCTTGAATGAGTAACCTGGTGTCCACGTCTAAACATCATCCACTGGGGAGACGAAGGCGGCGTTTGCTGTGCATCGGCAGAGGAGGCGAAACGGGCTTCGGCACGGGCTTGGGGAGGAGATGAGGCTGATGTGGTGTGGGAGGAAATCGGCCACTGCAAGGGAGGATCGAGAAATGGACGATACTGGGCAGTGCCAGGCTAGGTACACCGCGAGGCTTATTGGGCAGCTTGAGGCGGAGGAGCGACGCTCGTTGGAATGCCGGGTGGATAAAACAGAGTGGGGGAGCATGGGTGGTGCATCTTGTTAAGGAATCCCTGTTGAGTTAACCCATGGCACCTGGGCGTAACCGTGTGTAGGTGTGTGTATGTACGAGCGTATGCTTGCGTGTGCGCTATGCTCCGAACACCGGTGCAACCGAGTTCGATTCCTGCTCAGGGGCCAAGACCAGGTGACGAGATTCTCTGAAGCGGTCCTGGGCCTCCCCTAGGTCGACTCTGCCTCAAATGAGTAGCTGGCGCGGTGCGTAAAAACATCGCCACTGGGGCAGACGAAAGGTGGCCGGGCGTGGTGCTGCTGGCCACCCACCCCATCGTGTCCTGTCGCCAGCCGGCCTCGGTAGGGGTTCGCGAATGGAATGCGTGTGGAGTGTGCAACGAGTTCATGTTGGCCGCTTATCGCACCCAGCTGCACTTTTTCCAGCAGCGGAAACCGCGGCCCCAGAACTACCCAAGTACGTGCCCAGACCCAGGCGCACACACAAACACGCATAAGATATCGATCCGTGCACGCACACACAGAGTGAGAGAGAGTCCCGTGTACACGTATAACTGACTACGCACACGCATATACGCTTAGACACAGACACGGGTACACATAGACACGGACACACACACAGGCGCGAATAGTCGGGTTCACTTACAGAGACACACTTCGCACGTACATAGGTCGACACGGTCACTGGCGCACACACACAGACGCACATTGACGCAGCATCAGAATACCGGAGAAATCCGATGAGCTATAAAGCTCTTTTTCTACAGATGTCCGGGAGGGGCGGGTACGCATTGACACGGACACACTTGAACACACAGACAAAGACAGAAACACATAAGCACACATACACACACGTAGACACGGGCACACTTGCACACACATACACACCAAAGTCAGAAAGACAAAGCCACACATAGACGCACACGCAAAGACAAAAACATAGACACGAAAACACAAAGACACGCTCACACAAAGACAAGCACACACAGGCACATACATAGACATGCAAACACACACACACAGACACGCACACATAGACACGCACACACACAGAGACGCACACACGCACACACATAGTCACAGACACATGCACACATAGAGACACGCACATAGTCACAGACAGACATAAACACAGACACGCTCACACATAGACACACAGACTCGCACACACATAGACACACGCACACATAGGCACAGACACACACATAGACACAGACACACACATAGACACAGACACACACACAGACACGCACACATAGACACGCACGCACATAGACACAGACAGACATAAACACAGACACGCTCACACACAGACACACAGACACGCACACACACGTAGACACGCACACACAGACACACGCACACACACACATAGACACAGACACATATAGACGCGCGCACACATAGACACAGACCCACACATCGACACAGACACACACGTAAACACGCACACACGTAGACACGCACACACGTAGACACGCACACACATAGACACGCGCACACATAGACACAGACACACACACAGACACACACAGACACAGACACGCACAGGGCTGCTGATGCTGCTGTTCGGGGCGATGCAGCTCGCGGTGACAGCGGCAGGAGCTGCAACTCGCACACTGCTGCTGCTGCAGCTGATGGTGCTTGTGGTGGTGCTAGTGGTGGTGGAAGCGCCAGCGACATCCACCAGGGAGCTGAGGAACTCCACGTCCCACGGTACGGGAGGTGAGTCGGGGGGAGCAGGAGTCGGATGATCGTGAGCCCGGTGTGTGTGTGTGAGCCTGGTGTGTGTGTGAGCCTGGTGTTTGTGTGTGTGAGCCTGGTGTGTGTGCGTGTGTGAGCCTGGTGTGTGTGTGTGAGCCTGGTGTGTGTGTGAGCCTGGTGTGTGTGAGCCTGGTGTGTGTGTGAGCCTGGTGTGTGTGTGCGTGTGAGCCTGGAGTGTGTGTGTGAGCCTGGTGTGTGTGTGATCCTGGTGTGTGTGTGATCCTGGTGTGTGTGTGTGAGCCTGGTGTGTATGTGTGCCAGGTGTGTGTGTGTGTGAGTGCCTGGTGTGTGAGCCTGGAGTGTGTGTGTGAGTGCCTGGTGTGTGAGTGTGTGTGTGAGCCTGGTGTGTGTGTGTGTGATCCTGGTGTGTGTGTGTGAGAGCCTGGTGTGTGTGTGTGAGAGCCTGGTGTGTGTGTGTGAGTGCCTGGCGTGTGTGTGTGTGAGCCTGGTGTGTGTGTGAGGCCTGGTGTGTGTGTGTGAGCCTGGGGTGTGTGTTTGTGAGCCTGGGGTGTGTGTGTGTGTGTGAGCCTGGTGTGTGTGAGCCTGGTGTGTGTGTGTGTGTGTGAGCCTGGTGTGTGTGTGTGTGTTTGTGAGCCTGGTGTGTGTGTGTGAGCCTGGTGTGTGTGTGAGTGCCTGGTGTGTGTGTGAGTGCCTGGTGTGTGAGCCTGGAGTGAGTGTGTGTGTGAGTGCCTGGTGTGTGAGTGTGTGTGTGATCCTGGTGTGTGTGTGTGATCCTGGTGTGTGTGTGTGTGTGAGATCCTGGTGTGTGTGTGTGTGTGAGAACCTGGCGTGTGTGTGTGTGAGCCTGGGGTGTGTGTGTGTGAGAGCCTGGGGTGTGTGTGTGTGAGCCTGGGATGTGTGTGTGAGCCTGGGGTGTGTGTGTGAGCCTGGGGTGTGTGTGTGAGCCTGGGGTGTGTGTGTGTGTGAGCCTGGCGTGTGTGTGTGAGCCTGGTGTGTGTGTGTTTGTGAGCCTGGTGTGTGTGTGTTTGTGAGCCTGGTATGTGTGTGTTTGTGAGCCTGGTGTGTGTGTGTTTGTGAGCCTGGTGTGTGTGTGTGTTTGTGAGCCTGGTGTGTGTGTGTTTGTGAGCCTGGTGTGTGTGAGTTTATGAGCCTGGTGTGTGTGTGTTTGTGAGCCTGGTGTGTGTGTGTGTTTGTGATCCTGGTGTGTGTGTTTGTGAGCCTGGTGTGTGTGTGCGCCTGGTGTGTGTGTGAGAGTGTGCTTGCGGGTAAAGCTTCCACAAAGTCGGCTGCCCGCCCATCCAAATGCATATTAAGCTGCTGTAACGCCTGCGCGTCCGTCCAGCCATTAATATCTTTAGCACACTTCATTCTGCGGGCGAACGATTTCCATGAAGGAATCCCTCGCCCGGTGAATACATGTCTTACCTTAGCGTGGGGTGAAGCGCCTCTTTCCCTTGGAGGTGCGGGGGATCGTACCGCTTCTGTCACCAATTTGTCGGGGCTACTGAAACCCCGATTACTCTCTGTGAGACATAACTCTCGGCTGGCCCCTTGGCCACCTTGTTCATTCAAACACCCTCCGCGTGCCTTCCCTCAAACATTGGTAATAACTACCCGCACGCTACTGCTCAACCCCGTGCACACTCTAAAAATAGCACGGCAGCTGGGGGTCGGAGGTCGGAGGGCAGTGGCGTTGCTCGCACACGCGCGGCCGCCGTGGGCGGGTGATAGCGCTCGTTTAAAGGGCCGTGGGACCGGTGTTTACGGTAGGTGTGAGCCCCCACGCAGCACGAGTTTCCACAGCCACAGAACGGAGCGCGCACCCGCGGAAACACCGACCACCCACGTTACGAGCGTACACACACAGCACCACGCGCTTTCAGCACCCCCCCCCCCCCCCCCCCGTGGGCACACACTAAACCAAGTATGAATTATCTCACATGTACCCTTGCGAGTCTACCGTCGCTCCCCGTGGGCATACGATAAACAGTTAACGCAGTGCAAACGTAAGGATAACCTAATAGAGGGTCAGATCCGCGCGTTAACCCGTCGTTCACGCCTATGCACACACAGGACAAGACGCGCCCTCGCGGAGTCCTGCGGGCGCAGCGTTTCATCCACCGGGATGCGGTGCACCCAGCCACACACGTTAGCGCACACACGCTACAATTCACTTTCAACACACTCGTAGAATCCACACGAGACTGTGGTGAGTTATTAACTATTTATTACCGGCCGACTGTGAGCCACTGTTGAGTCAGTAGAAATCGGCAATGTAGGCTTACACTATTTCCTGATGGTCTGTACCTGTCGGGGTCGCTGGCCCCCGAGATCCCTCCCTCGATAATGATAACGGCCGGGCTAACATCATCACTCGCCCCCCCGCTGCTAGGCGAACCGCTGCTGGGTTCCTCACCCATGGTGTGGTAGCCGTCGCTCGAGGATTCCCCTCCACTGCGGGTTCGCGTAGTAGGCATGGTTATATACCGAGTAGTATTATGCCCCCCTTTACGCTACCACGATACCTCCCTTTCTTAATCGCGCACCTGCGACCCACACGGTGCGAACGTACGCACACACACACACACACAGCTCCGTGCACTCCAACTCAACACTGACTACTCACGTTACGATCGCGCACCTGTATCATACACGGAGTGAACGCACGTGCACCCACGCAGCTCCACACACGACACCCACTCTCGTGCCACTCTGCGCAGCGCTCCCACGAGGCGAACCACGGTGTACACAGGACCACACACGTTCACACCTCTCCACGAGATCACACGAGGCCACGATTCGCTATTAATGATTTATTGTTTGCTACCTGGTAATTAATGTTAAATCAGTCTGAATTGACGAGGCTGGCCTATTCCACTACCCCTGTACCTATTCCCTATTTATCGGCTATGATCCTACTTCACCTCCTTACTCACTGTTGGGTGCCCACGGCGGTTCGTTGATCCCGTACCCGCAGCGTACCTCGATGCGTCTCACGGACGTTCGGGTCGCTGGACTGTAGAGCGTCTTGTCGCCTGGCGCTGGAGTGTGAGAGCGATTTCCCCTTTGCGCCCCCTTTTTATCCTCCCTACATCAAAGGGATGCGGCTCCGAGCGGGATGGCGGCCCTCAGTTTTCCCTTAACAATGGGCTCGCGCCCGCTCTCTGCTCATGTGCGGCTCATATGCTAATCAATGGTGCCTGCGCGCTCAAGCGTAATTATCCTAACCATCCGTGACTATGCGCAAGAGCCCCTGCGGTCCTGCTACTCATGCTGTCCCGTCCCTCCCCTGCTTGCCTCGTCGACCCGTGGGGGTGTGTGTGGGGGGATGCGTTTCAACCGCGGTGGCCGAATGCCCTTCACCGCGACCATACCATCTTAAGGCCGGTCGCAGCGCCGCGGTGCAAAGTAATAAATATGTATAAAATATGCGTAATTCACATAAATTATGCTAATGTTTATAAGTATATGTATAAATTATGATAATCACGGAGGTAATCATATGCATTTATGCGAATGCTTGCAATTATGTTAATGTGTGCAGTTATGATAATTAGGCTTAGCTTCGTTATCCAGAGTTGTATCAATCAGGATAAAACGATTCTTTGATTAAACATTTATTGATTATCTTAGTGTGTTTATGTTATGTTAGGTCTCCAAATTCATATCTCAACGCAGGATACAGTTCTTATAAATAAGAGTTTTGCATGGACTTGGAAAGAAACACTCAAACGCTTTTGTTAAGAAATTTTTATTCTAAACAAAATTATGACACTCTAATATGCAAAGGCGAAAGCATACGTCAATAGATTCATGAGCAAGATTATGCAATTAACGAAAATGAATGACTACAACACTTCTTATTCATGTAACTCGACGGCAGCAACGGCATTGCACAATCAGTTGATATTGAACGCACCACCTTGAAATGGCAACCCTTTTCGAAACACAAAGATAACTTTTTGAAATAGTCATCTTCGTCTGCGTGTTGCGTGTGCGTTGTATTGTACCCTTGATAACTATTGTTTTAAGCAGAGGCAGGGCGCTGTGTCGGAGCTTGTGGGGTGGGGGAGGGGTATACAACCAGCGGCCAGAGAGGTTCCCTCTCGCTTGGGCGTGGCCGCAGCGAGCCCGTCTTCCGGCTTTCTCTCTCCTATTTATTACCTGTCGGCCAGGTGACCTCCCCTCGGAGCTCTATGGGGGGGGGGGGGGGGAATGTGTGAGGGTGTGTTTATGTGGGGGGTGGTGAGGGGGAAGCAGTGTCGGCCCCGTCGCTTGGTGGAAGCGAGGTCGTAGATGGGGCGCCAGCAGAGCGGCTTGGTGTGTGTGTGAGCACCTGGTGTGTGTGTGATCTTGGTGTGTGTGTGTGTGAGAGCCTGGTGTGTGTGTGTGATCCTGGTGTGTGTGTGTGTGTGATCCTGGTGTGTGTATGTGTGAGCCTGCTGTGTGTGACTAGTGCGGTGTGTAAACATCACCACTGGGAAGACAAAGGTGGTCGGGCGTGGTTTTAGGCCACCCACCCCCTCGTGTTCGGTTTCGGCCTTCATAGGTGCTGCTATTTTCTAACAGCACTTGCTCCAAAATAATTCTGAGGCTATACGGGGATTTTTGTCATTTGTGTGTGTGGGGAGCGGTGATGTAGTGGTCAGCGCTCTGCACTACGAACCCGGGGACCCGAGTTCGATTCCCGCTCGCGGCCAATACCCGTTGACGATTATCTGAACCGGTTTTGGGCAGCCCCTAGGTCGACTCGGCCGCAAATGAGTATCTGGTGTGGTGCGTAAAAACATTGTCCCTGGGGAGACAGAGGCGTGGTGCTGGCCACCCACCCCCTCGTGTGCCGTGCCGGCCTTCATAGGTGCTCGCTACAGGCTATACGGGGGGGGGGGGGGGGGGGGGGTTAGTTTGTAGGTGAGGGACTGGTTATGTGTGTATGGAGGTGAGAGCCTGGTGAGAACATGAGGAATTGGTGAGTATGTGTGTGTAGGTGACCAACTGGT